GGGGGGTGGGCGGAGGCTTCCTTTCTACAGAAATGTCATCGAAGAAGAGTTTTGCATTGATGGAGGAAGGGGCGGCGGGGGTCGGGCTTGGGGTTTTCCTAGGGAATGGACCATTTGGCAAACTTTCTTTTTCGTGCCTTTGGTTTTTCCGTGTGTGTTCTCATGAAACATGGGATTTCTAATTGTTTTTTGGAGGCGGGGGGGGCGGGGAGATGAAGGGAAATAATAAAAAGAATTCCGCCATTTTGACGTTTAAAAAAGTAACTGTTCTGCAGAGCCCAGGGATCCGCGGGTGCGCCCCGCCCTCGCGCCCGCCGCGCTCTGGGTCCCGGGCGGCAGGTGGCGGGCGTGGACGCCCGGAGCGCGCTCCCAGCCGCTGGCGGCGAGTCTGGGGGCGCTGACGGTGCTGGGTGCACGCTGTGTGTCTCTAGGGCACAGCTCCCCCTCCACCCCCAGCGCCTTCAGCTCGGACTTGTATTGGATGTCAGTGGTAATACAAGGGCTTGAAGGGAAAGGGAGTGGTGTTGGGGGTGGGGGCGGGTGGAGACACTGGCAGACAGCAAGACTACTTAGACACATTGATTGCATGACAATTGAGCGTCTACGGTAACCACTGCCCTGGGCTGGGGAAGGTTTTGGTCTTCTAAGCCGGGTTCCCTGGAAACAGGACTCTGAGAGGGAGATTAGAGTGTAGGAGTGGCCTTGTGAAGACCTCAGGGATGAGGCTGAGAAATGGAAATACTGATGTCGCTTTAACATAGAGAATCTCATGAACGGAAAGCTCTGCAGAGGTGCCCTGCGTTAAGACAAGGGCATTTCAAGAGGGGGCATTTCTACCTCTGTGTCTCCTAATCAGGGCTACATCCAGATGACAGCAGCTGGATGAGGCAGCTCACCTGGCTGGAAACCTGACACCTTTTCTCCAGTGTCCCAGAACCCAGCTCATTCATTACAGGCACATCTCAGGCCGCATTTTCTTCTTCCCTTCTTCAACCTGTAAGTGTTGTCCAGCAAGGTCTCACTCTTCTCTCTGTACTCCTTTCTGTGTTCTAAATACTACTTATATATGATGACTTCCAAATTTACATCCCAGCCCAACTTTATCCATCCATCACCTTTAGAATATAAATTCTCCAACACAGGGGCCCCAAGTCTCCCTCCAGGTGTGGGGGACAGGGGATGGCTGGTGGAGGATGAGGTCAGAGGAGAGGACGGGTCAGAGTCTGTAAAGAAAGACTTGGATTCGATCCTAAAGGCCATGGAGAACAATTGAAAAAATTTTAAATAGAGAAATTACATAGTTGGGGGGCATATTTTAAAGCTTTTCCATATCTGATAATGTTTTGAACCCAAGGGCCTTATACATACTAAGCATAAACTCTACCCCTGGGCTATTTGTTGTCCCAGCCCTCTTCCTGGAGCATCAACTGTAAAGAAACAGTGGAGGTGCAGAGATAGGCTGGGAGGCATTGCCACACATCCAAGGAAGGCTGACTGTGTTAGGACCGGCATAGTGTTAGTGAAGTGGCCACATACTGAAATGTGTTTTGAAAGATGCATTGACAAGGCAATTAGAATATGTCTCTAAAGCTGTGCTGTCCAAATATTAGTCATAGCCACTGTTACTGTTCGAATTTAATTAAAGTAAAACAAGGTACAGTAGTACACACCCATAATCCCACATCTCAGGAGGTGGGAGCAGGAGGATTATGAGTTCAAGGCCAGCCAGGACTGTGTAGCAAGACCCTCTCTCAAAAAACAAATTTACAGCCAGGCGCCAGTGGCTCATGCCTGTAATCCTAGCTACTCAGGAGGCTGACATCTGAGGATTTCGGTTCAAAGCCAGCCCGGGCAGGAAGTCCATGAGACTCTTTTTTTTTTTTTTTGGTCCAGTCGTGAGGCCTGAACTCTGGGCTTGGGTGCTGTCCCTCAGCTCTTCAGCGCCACTTCCGGCTTTTTTCTTTTTGCTTATGTGGTTCTGAGGAATCAAACCCAGGGCCTCATGCATGCAAGGCAAGCGCTCTACCACTGAGCCACCTTCCCAGCCCCTCCATGACACTCTTATCTCCAATAAACCACCAGAAATTTGGAAGTGGAGCTGTGGCTTAAGTGGTAGAGCACTCTCCTTGAGCTGAAAAGCACAGGGACAGCATCCAAGCCCAGAGTTCAAACCCCACAACTGACAGAAAAAAAAATTACATAAAATGAACAGTTTAGTTCAGTTAGTCTCGGGAGCCACATTTCAAGTCCTGAGTAGCCACATGTAGTTAGAGGCTACAGTGTTAGGCAGCATGGGTTTAGGAAGAATATTTCCATCATCACAGAAAATCCTGGCAATGTTGGTAAGGCACCTGAAACAGTAAATAGCACATTTTAGGTGTTGAATAAATGTTCATTTCTGAGTATATCTGTTACACCAGTAGGTCTTTTAATTTTTTTTTCATTTAAGCCAGTCCATCTCTGTGAAATACCTAATGCCTTTGGTTTATGAAAACAGGATATTCTTACCCTGTCCCATCTTTAGATGCACAAATGCATTCAACAGGTGTTTTAGTGTCCACTTTGTGCTTGTGGTTGTGGGAGTGGTGGGCAGTGGGCATGAAGGAACATGATCAGGACCATGCTACTGTCTCAGCTATGAACACTAGTGTGATATTTATCTCTGAGTATTTCCCCCTATGCCATTTCCTTATTGGGATGAACTTGGATGAAGGAGAACCTAGTGTTTGAAGGCTCTGAGTCTCCAGAAAAGGAAAGAGAGTGCTACTACTGGGGATGGAATGGGGGTAGGGGGCTCAAGAATGAGATGCAGCTGGGCAGCAGTGGCTCACTCTGTAATCCTAGCTACTCAGGAGGCTGAGGATTGTGGTTCAAAGCCAGCCTGGACAGGAAAGTCTGTAAGGCTTTATCTCCAATTAACCACAAAAAAGCTAGAAGTAGAGTTGTGGTTTAGAGTGCCAGTCTTGAAAAAGCTAAGGGACAGCACCCAGACCTTGAGTTTAATCCCCAGTCCAGGTACAAAAAAAAAATTAATCAATGAATTTGTCCAGGTACTGGTGGCTCATGCCTGTAATCCAAGTATTCAGGAGGCTGAGTACGGGAGGATTGTGGCTCAAAGCCTGCCCAGGCAGAAAAGTCCATGAGATTCCATCTCCAAAGTAGCCAGCAAAAAATCAGGGCTGGAGGCATGGCTCAAGTGAGAGGGTACCAGCTGAGCAAACAAGCAGACAGAGTGAGCAAGCACAAGGCCCTGAGTTCCAATTTGGGTGCGACTGAGGTGGGGGGGGTGAGGATATGAGGTAAATTTGGACTTACTTGGTGGTGAATGCTTATAGTACCAGCACTGAGAATGTAGAGTCCAAGGTTACTCTGGGCTGTATAGCAAGACTCAGTCTGAGGTTAATTTATTTGGACCATTCATTCATGAGGATATTAGTCAGGAAAACGATCAGTCTGAACAAAGCTTCCAAGATTCAACACACACTGTCTTGCCAAGTCCCTCACTCAAGCCACCCTGTCCATCCTCACAGAGACAGAGTGGAGGGGAGTGGGGGGCAGGGAATGGTGTGGTTAGAGCTCTTACAGAGACTTGGGTAGAACCAGGAACCAGACTCTGTGCTGGTCTGAGGATGCCCTGCTCTGCTCAGTCAGGGCTGAGGCCTTTCCCTGCAGATTGCTGGCTTGAGGTGGCTAGCTCTACCTCCCTTCCCATTTCCATTGCTTGTAGCAGAAGTCCCCTCCTGATTGCCCCGAGGCAGCCTGCATTTGGCTCGTGACCATCAGGATGGAGGGACATGCGGAAATGGAGATGCTGAGGACGCTGAAGGGCCCTTCCACAGGGGAGGTTAGTGTGCACCTGGTGGCCAGAGACAGCTCAGGTTCTGGTCCTCACCTGTCCCCATCTGCCTTCATCCTTCCAGGTAGGTCAAGTAAGGGATCTTGAGGAATAGCATTTCTGTACCTGCTCAAGTGGAAGGGGGGAGGGGGAATTGACACTTTTAACTTTGCTACACCTGGCTTTTCTTCACCTGCCTACACATTGTGGCAGATTTGAGGCAGGGCCACTAGGTTCACCAGTGAGTGCCACGTCTCTATGTGTGTATCCACCCACAGCCACCTCGGCCACACTTGGCCTGCCCAGTAGGACCCTGGATGTGTCCTGCTTCTCTCGGGAGCCAATCCAGGTGGGCGCCCTGGAGCGAGGGTCTGGCAGCGAACCAGTGACAGCCACCGTTCTGCCACAGATGAATGCTGGACCAGGGCCCAACACTAGTACCAGCACATTACGGCTGCTGGAATGGACGGAGGCTTCGGCCACGCCCCCTGGGAGTGGCCTACGGGTCAGTGCCCATAGGGATTGGCTATTCACAGCTAAGGGGCAGGACCTAAGCTAGAAAAGCCTAGCTGTCAGAGATGCAGACTCCTGGGGTTGGTCAGTGCTGTGAATGCAAGCCTTTAGGGGCGTGGCTTAAGTTAAAGCACACTGATCTCCTGGAGGCGGAGCTTAGAGTGCGTTAGCTTGGGACTGGACATGAAGGTGCTTGGGGGCGGGGCTTGGAGGGGGCGGAGCCAGGTCTGCAGGAGCTTGAGGTAGTGTTAGAGATTGGGAGACTGCACTGCTCCCAGGTGGTCTAGGGGTCGCCATCCTCAGACTCTCCCACGCCCCAGTTCCGGATAAGCGAGTACACGCCGCTGAAAATGGTGGGAGTGGAGCAACCACTGAACCCCGAGCCGCAGCAAGAGAGCTTGGCCGAACGTGAAGATGGCGGGGCCCCCGCTAGAGGTGGTGATTCAGGCACCCAGCATCCTGGTAGGAGCCAGATCCCCGGGCCCTGAGCTGGGAGCACTGTGCAGGGTGGGCTAGGCCTCAGTTTCCCTGAGGACCCTGGGCTGGGGGTGTGGTTCATGATGGTCCTGATGGAGAAGGCTGGGGTGGGGGTCTGACCAGCGCTGAGAAGGGACCATGGTGAGGCTGCTAAGTGGTGAGGACCCTGAGGCCCAGTTGGCCCCCACAGGGGACCCCCCTCAGGACCCTCCAGAAGAGCCCTCTCGGGACCCCACAGAGGATCACAGCACCTGTCGGTGCCAGGCGTGCGGGCCTCAGGGTACCTGTCCAGATCTTGGCTCTTCCAACAACGGTTGCCCTCAGCTGTTCCAGGAGCGGTAAGGGGGAGGGGGGCGCAGCCTTACTTGTCTGTCTTCAGCCTTCAAAGCCCCATTCCTGCTCAGGCTTAGGAGCGGGGCAGGCTGGTGCATGGACTTTCCTACCCAGGATCGTTTTGAACCAGGATCTCAGATCTCAGCCTCCTGAGTAGCTAGGATGGCAGGTGCTGCTTTTGCTGAGGCAGCTTCTCCCTCAGGTCAGTCATTGTGGAGAACTCAGGCTGCACAGATGTATCTGATCTACTCAAACCTATGAAGAAGAGGAGGCACAGGGAATACCAGAGCCCATCAGAGGAGTCGGAGTCTTCCATGGTAAGAAGAAGGCCTCCCTGGAGGGGGAAGGGGGAGACTATAGCCCATTCCTCAGCTCCCATTACCTGGTGAGTCCAAGACATGGGGCTAGATATCCATTATGACTCATCCTGCGTTTTAGATTCTATCTTGGGTCAAGTCCTGTCCTTGACTGAAAAATAAATGAATGAATTGCTCTTGATTTTCTGGAGCTACCATCTCAGCCTAGTGTCATTTGGCACAGTCCTATGAACTGGCTCCAGAGTGGATGTGTGGGGGAGGTGGAAAACAGTTCCTGAAGTCCAGAACCAAGGCAAGGGGTTAGAAAACATAAAGCTCTAGTTGCAGAAGCAGGAATAGATAGAGCACAAAGCATCCACTGGGTAGGTAAAGTCAACACAGAGAAGGTGTTTGTGTATTCAGTTTCCCCCCTGGGTATAAGAGTTTGTCAAGAGTGTGTAACTGAAAGAGGCGGGGAGGGGTTGGTGCTCACAGGAACTTTTGCCAGGGTACCAACTTATCCACTGGTGCTATTACTAGTGGATGGCCTAGAAGGAATTCTACCTGTTTAGGGCAGAGCCTGGGAAAGAGTAGGATCAGAGGCTGGACCTCCACCTCAAATGCTGAGGACAGAAAGCTGAGAACAGGCTTATCTTCTACAGGAGAAGCAAGAAGGAAAGGATGCAGAGAGACAAGCCACCACTACTACCACTCCAGAGAGCGAAGAATGGAGCAGCAGCCAGCCTGGTATGGTGACATGTGAGTGTGTGTGTGTGTGTGTGTGTGTGTGTGGAGATGGGAGGTCGGGGGAGAGGTCATGGTTGTGATACAATTTGATATATACATAGATGTTCACCAGTTAGTATATGTGAAAAAGAGAGACAGTGAGAAAACATTGCTGTATTTCTTTATTCTTTGTTATTAAATTGTGAGTAGGCATCCTTGCCAGCAAAGTCTTGGCTTCAGTATCTGAAGATTTGAGCAGCATTTTTGGCAACACTGGCATTACTTTTCTTTGATGGTCTAGGCAAGCCCACACTGGTCCTTGATTTGACCTTCCTATTTGGGTCCCTACTCTGGCCTTTTGTTTGTTGTTTGTTTGTTTGCTAGTTGTGAGGCTTGAACTCGCAGTCTGAATGCTGTCTCTGAGCTTTTTTGCTCCAGTCAAGCACACTTAATTGGTTAATTGGAGATAAGAGTCTCATGGACTTTCCTGCCCAGGCTGGCTTTAAGCCCCAATCCTCAGACTTCAGCCTCCTGAGTAGCTAGGATTACAAGGCTGAGCCACCAGTGCACAACTTTATTCTGGATTTTTTGGGGGATGAGGGGAGGAGGTCGGCCATAGGGTTTGAACTCTGGGCCTGGGCGCTGTCCCTCAGCTCTTCAGCTCAAGGCAAGCACTCTACCACTTGAGCCACAACACCACTTGCAGTTTCTCTGGTCGTTAATTGGATATAAGAGTCTCATAGACTTTTCTGCTTGGGCTGGCTTTGAATCATGATCTTCAGATCTCCTGAGTAGCTAGGATTACAAGCATGAACCACCAGTGCCCAGCTATTCTGGTCTTTTGATTCTAAAAAATTTCAAAAAAGATCCCTGAGGCCTTTTATCTTACCACCTCAGTATTCCCAGGCCACAACTGTCAAGTAGAGTAAGTATCATTGATCATACTTATAAAACAATTTGGTTAATGTCTTTCTCCCTCAAGACCTTAGACTCCATCAACACAGCTACTGAGTTGGTTTTATTAATCACTACATCCCGGCTGCTTAGCCTAGAGCTTGGTTTGGAGTAGTTTCTCAATTAATGTTTGTTCAAGTAGATGAATGGATGATTTGTATGTTGACAATTCCTCTTGGACTTCAGTTCGGTTGCATGAGTCACTGTGTTTCCCATCTCAGAGAGAACCACAAAGATGAGGTCAGTACTTAGATCATCATCCTGCCTCAATGGATCAATCACGGCCAGAGGAGCTGGGCTGTGTCCAAGGTTCTACTTTCCCTTCCAACCTCTGCCCACCAGAGTTAATCAATCAGTGTGTGCTGGTCCTGGAGTTTGAACTCAGGACCTGGGTACTGTCCCTGAGCTTTTTTGCTCAAGCTAGCACTCTACCGCTTGAGCCATAGCTCTACTTTCAGTTTCTTGGTGGTTAATCAGAGATAAGAGTCTTATGGACGTTCCTGCCCATGCTTCGAATCATGATTCTCAGATCTCAGCCTCCCAAGTAGCTACTTATGACACCATAAGCTATCAGTGCCTGGATCCAAATCAAATTTTGTCTCTGTCTTACCCAAGCAGTCACTCCTGAGTCCTAATACTTAGCCCTGTTTGGTTTACAGCTTCATAGACTAACACAGTGAGGAAAGAGATTGTGTCTTTCTGCTGTGGCCCAACTACTGTCTTAATTTACAAAAACAAATGTATACATCAGTGTTATTGTAGCTGGGCTATGTTAGCTAGTACATTGTTATCTTTTTTTTTTCAGTACTAGGAATTGAACCTAGGACTTCATACATACCAGGCAGTCACTCTACTACCAAACTACACTATCAGCCCAAAGTTATACTACTCACTATCTCCATTATGAATGTTAGTGTGACATTGGTTTCTGTGTTTTCTCCCTCTATCTCTTTTCTTTCATTATTTAAGGAAACAAACTATGTTAGTAGGTAGAAATTTACATTGTGACCTAAGCTGTTTATCTGACACATCTAGAGTTGCTGGAGTGTTCTAATGGTTTAAGACTTCGTAATATGTAACTCATGTATAATTCAGACCTTCTCTCTCAAATAGCTCCTTCATCTTTTCAGCTACCCTTTTGGATGAAAAATCATTTTCTGACATGCTATGAAAAAGTCCTTACAACTTATTTATTGATAACTATTCTAATAATCTTAACAGTTAGATGTCGTTCACCACTGTCATATGGTATCTCATTCTGTCCACATCTAGATCAAGTGTCTCTGCAGTGGCATTCCCTAGGATCAACTCATCACTTGTCAGTCTTTTCAGATTCAGAGATTTCTGTCCTTACAGTGAGTTTTATATATTGTCTTTTTCCTTCCTTCCTTCCTTCCTTCCTTCCTTCCTTCCTTCCTTCCTTCCTTCCTTCCTTTCTTTCTTTCTCTCTCTCTCTCTCCTCTCTCTCTCTCTCTCTCTCTCTCTCTCTTTCTTTCTTTCTTTCTTTCTGTTGTGGGGCTTGAAGTCTGGGCTTGGGCACTGTCCCTGCGTTCTTCAGCTCAAGGCGAGCGCTCTACCGCTTGAGCCACAGTGCCACTTCTGGTTTTCTGGTGCTTTGTTGGGGGATAAGAGTCTCACGGACTTTGCTGCCCAGGCTGGCTTTGAACCGTGATCCTCAGATCTCAGCCTCCTGGCTAGCTAGGATTACAGGAGCTTTTTGTTCAAGGCTAGCACTCTACCAGTTTGAACCACATCCCCAGATCCCGTTTTCTGGTGGTTAATTGGAGATAAGAGTCTCACAGACTTTCCTGCCCTGGATAATATCAAACTACAATCCTCAGATCTCAGCCTCTTGAGTAACAAGGATTACAGATGTAAGCCACCGAAGCCTGGCTCTTTCCTAGCTTTTTAAATGTCAGTGCTTTATGTGTACATATTTATGTGACAGGAGTTATTGTGTTGCTGTTGTTGTTGTTATTGTCAGTTATAAGGCTTGAACTCACTCCTGAGTAGCTAGGATTACAGGCGTGAGTCACCAGCACCCAGGATAGAGACACTTCCTTAATTGAAGTCCCTAATCTGTTTACGACAAAATGTAGGCCATGTTCAAGACATAAAAAGGTCCATTTATGCTCCCCAGAAGCTGAAGACAAGCTGTCACCAGGTAAACAATGGTCATCACAGAGTTCCGCTTCTTCCGCTTGCTGTTTCCAGGAATAGATCCTCAGGAAGCATACATTAAACACAAGTACCAGACTCTTGATTAAACTTTCAATGTTTTTCTCCTTTTAGTACCAAGAACTCATGCATGATAAGCACATGTTAAGACCACTGAGCTACACCATTAGCCCACTTTACTGAAATTCATCTTAGGATGAATTTGCTAGCCAAGCTATGTAAGAGATAGGTCAATATAGAGACATATCTGCAGCACAGTTAAACCAACAACAACAATGAGCATCCTGGTGACTGCTTGTAATTGGTGGTTCTTTGGACTCCTGTTCTTCTCATTACATTTTCTGTAGACATACATTTCCCACTGTTGGGAAATGGTTGGATGTTCAGAGATCAAAATAAGCAAGATACAATATCAGCACATAGGAAGAGCTCACAGAGCCAGATATAGAAAAAGGAAGTTATAATGTAGTAGCACAAGTATTGTGCTTGAAATATATCAACGTGAAAGACTGTCAAAGAACACATTCTGCCTCATGGAGTCAAGGAAGGCTCATTAACTCCATCCACCCACCCACTCACTTACCTAACCATCAGTCCATCCATTTACCCACTCACTCACACATCTATTCAACCACCCAACCATCCATCCACCCACCCATCCATCCATCCCTCCATCCATCCACTTATCCATTCTTCTAATCAATTAGCAAACATTTGTTGGATATCTATTCTGTATAAACCCCTGAGCTAGGTGCTAGAGCCATATCCAGGTCTTGCAGGATGAGAAAAGAATAAGAATTGTAATGGTGGAGAGTCTAGTAGCAAGAAACGGAAGAAGTACAGCCTAAAATTCTTAGATCTGCTCTTGCTTCATTCCCTTTCTTCTGCTCAGTAAGAAGAGATAACGCTGGATAGGCTTTGGGAAAACATTGTAGGGGAAATGATTATTCTGAAGGACAGTCTAGGTTTCACTAAGGACAGGTAGCCCAAAAGGATGTCCTTTAGATTGGAGTGTTGGTATAAATCTCTAAGAAGTTTGCTGGCTCTGTTGAGCAGCTGATAGATGAAAGTCTTGCTTTGGCCCAGCTAGGTCAGGTTATTGGGACTTAAGATTTGGTACAGTGATGGGAATTTAGGCAGCTGCAGGAGAGATGCTTCTAACTGAGGAAAAACTATCTTTCTGAATCACAAACTCCTCCAAGTTCAAGTATAGCCCAAGCCCAAGCAGCAGTCACATAAACCAGAGCATGGTAGAGTTAGGATCCAGGTCAGACAGACATAGGAAAACCAGCAAGGACAAATAACATGAACCAAGCATTTTGGCTTTCATAAGGTTCTCAGACAGTGTCTTTTACAATACTCATAAACAGCCCTCTGTGATAGATGAAATGATCTTGTGTGTGTGTGTGAGAGAGAGAGAAAGAGGGGGGGAGGGAGCGGGGGGAGAAGGGAGGGAGGGAGGGAATGTGTAAGGGCCATTCCTGGGACTTGAACTCAAAGTCTGGGTACTGTCCTGGGGTTTTTGACTCAAGGCTAGCAACCTACCACTTGAGCCACACAGCTGCACTCCTAGCTTTCTGGTAGTTAATTGAAGATAAGAGTTTCACAGACTTTCCCTGCCCTGGCTGGCTTTGAACCACAGTTCTCAGATTTCAGCGTACTGAGTAGCTAGGATTATAGTATGAGCCACTGGTGCCTAGCCTAATCATCTGCATTTTAGAGATGAAAAAACAAGGCTTATAAGTTTCCAGAAGCAGCTGGATATGAACTTATTCTTGTAAGTCAGTCTATGGCCTGGCAGGAACCCAGCTGACCTGGTCAGCCTACCTTCCAGGTAATTGACTACTTCAGCTTCTTGGTGGGAGGCTAGGACTCCATCTACAGGAGAGATCACCTCCCCTGCCTAGAACCCTGGAACCTAGCTGGGGCTATAGGCCCTGACTATAGAAAGTGTGTGTGTGTGTGTGTGTGTGTGTGTGTGTGTGTATGTGTGCATGCACACCTCTGTGTATATATGAGAGAGAGAGAACATGTTCGCACATGCTTATGTCTGGGAGAGGAGAACCTTCCCTTTATCTAAGAGTGCACAAGGATGTAAGCACATATGTGTTTCTCTGTGTATGCCTGTAAGTAATTTAGGGGAAGAAGTTAAAAGAGTTTCTTATTTCTGTATGTCCTCTCTCCTCCATTTCTCCCCCCTGTGTGTTTCATCTTTCCTTTATGAGCTGAAGCAACACTGTTTACTGAGTACTCTGGCTTAGAACCTGCTACTCCTTTTTGCCCTCAGTTACTCTTCAGAAGACAGGAACCTCTGTAGCTGGTCCGTGACTTTCATTGTGGTATAAACCAAAGGCTTCTGATGGTGGCCTGGAGATGGAGGTAGGGGAGTGGACAGAACTTGTTGGCTTCATCTGAGACTGAGCCACCTCTGTGACTGGTGCCATCAAAGCCAAGAGAAAAACACAGGGTGCATATGGTTTCCAACTGGTTTGCTTTGAAGGTTAACATCAGAGTTCAGTCAGGAGAAACTAAGGAAAGTCTTGCATCAGGAGCAGCCCCGGAGTCATCCTGTCTGTTTCTTCTCTGCAGCCTCAGGTGAGAAGAAGGCGGGCTGGTCATGGGAGTCCTACTTGGAGGAGCAGAAGGCTATCACCGCCCCCATCAACCTCTTCCAGGACGTGAGTTGAACAATTTCCATCTATGAAGAGCTTGTCTTGTCTTCCTAGTCCAAAGACCACCACCAGACTCAGGCCTTCTGGTGTTCTCTGTCTGACTGGAAGAATGGACAGGGGAGAGGCTGTTAGGTGCCTGGGGGTACCATCAGGGGCTTCCGGGAGGTGAAGAAATGGGGAGATGACACCCAGGCTCACCCAGTTCCTAGGCCTGCAGGTTTTTGATTCTGGTGCCTCTACTCAGAGCCACATTGCTGACCTTTCTGTGCACTGTGCCAGAGGGGGCTTTTACGTCCAGATCTGCCTCTCAGCTCTTCTGTTCCTTTCTGGATCCCTGCGTGACAGATTCCACAGACAAGTTGCCCCTTTAGGAACACCAAGCGGGTGGGGCCTAAAGGCAGCTCCTTCACCCCAAGCTCGCCAGGCAAGGATAAGGCTGGATGGAAGCTGGGTCCTCTCCACTCTGTGCGTTGACAGTCCCAGGCGGTCACTCACAACAAGAATGGCTTCAAACTGGGCATGAAGCTGGAAGGCATTGACCCTCAACACCCATCCATGTACTTCATCCTCACGGTGGCCGAGGTGAGGAGAGGCTGGCTAATACCCATCTGGTGATGTCACTCAGTGTAGCCTAGGAACATGGCACCCAGTCTTACAGGGGATGAAGTTGCAATGCAGAGGAAACTAAAAGAGTTCAAACCAGATGAAATACTACAGGGCCGTAGACCATTGTATGGTATGTTGCAGTCCAACCTGAGGAGCTTGAGGACAGATTCCCCAGGGGGAGTCAAACTGGTCCTTGTCTGTAAGAACTTGCAGGTTTCATGACAGTGACATGCCATGGGGTGGCAGAGGGAAGCTCTTCATTTTTTGTTGTTGTTGTTGTCAGTCTTAGGGCTTGAACTCTGGGCCTGGGAGCTGTTCCTCAGCTCTTCAGCTCAAGGCTAGCCCTCTACCACTTGAGTCACAGCACCACTTCCGGCTTTTTCTGTTTATGTGGTGCTTGGGAATCAAACCCAGGGCCTCATGCATGTGAGGCAAGTACGCTACCACCGAGCCACCTTCCCAGCCCCGAAGCTCTTCCTTTGGCCTGAGGAGGCAGGAACAGCATAGAGGAAGGGCCTCCCTTGCCTGGCCCTGAGAAAGGAGCTGTGCAAATGCACAGGAGCTCCAGGCGCAGTGAGGATTGGGGTGTGGCACATGGTGTCAAGTGCCAGAATCTGAGTTCAATGGCCACTGCCATAAAGAAGAGAAGCACCAAGCTGCAAAGTAGGCAGAGGTTCTGGATTTAGTCATAAATTAACACTAGAGAGTTTAACTGAACGAAACAATGGAGCTCACCTGGAGTAGGCCCCCACCATGCTCTAGCCGTGAGCTGAGAGGACCCATCGCGGGGTGTCCAAGTGGGGAGCAGTGAGAGGAGGTAGCAGAAGGAAAGGCCATCAAGGGCCCTGAGCAGCCTCAAGCCTGTGACCCCTTCCAAGTCCCATCTGGGGCACAGGAGGGCAGGAAGCCAAAGAGTCAATCTGTCTTGTACCCAGCACTTGGGGCTCATGAGGACATGAACTGGCCTTGCTGTAGGATGAGTGAGAAGCTTGGGGCAGAGTCCAAAATGGGAAGGGGGAAGGAGAGAAGAGGGAGTGAGAGAAGAAGAGAAGAGAAAAGAGAGGATGGGAAAAAGGAGAGAAGAGGAGAGGTGAGGAAAGGAGAGGAGAGGGGAGGGGAGGGGAAGGGAAGGGAGGGGAGGGGCTGGGAGTGAGGCTTAGTGGTAGAGCACTTGCCTAGCATGCATGAAGCCCTGGATTGGATTCCTCAGCATCACATAAAAAAACTGAAGGAAATAAAAATTTAAAAAAGAGTGAGAGAAGCCAGGCGCAGGTGGCTCACACCGGTAATCCTAGCTACTCAGGAGGCTGAGATCTGAGGATCATGGTTCAAAGCCAGTTGGGGCAGGAAAGTCTGTGAGACTCTTATCTCCATAAACCACTAGAAAACCAGAAGTGGTGCTGTGGCTCGAGCGGTAGAGCACTGATCTTGAGCTGAAGAGCTGAAGGATAGCACCCAGGCCCAGAGTTCAAGCCCCACAACCGACCAAAAAAAAAAAGAGAGAGAGCCAGCCCCGGTGGCTCACACCTATAATACTAGCTACTCAGGAGGCTGAGATCTGAGGATCATGATTGCAAGCTTGTTAGACTCTTATCTCCAATAAACCACTCAGAAAACTGGAAGTGGCACTGTGGCTCAAGTGGTAGAGCACTAGCCTTAAGCTGAAGAACTCAGGGATAGCGCCCAGGCCCAGAGTTCAAGCCCCACAACAGACAAGAGAGAGAAGAGGGGAGCTGAGGGAAGGAGGTGGGAAGAGATGTGGGTTTGGGAACCTGTCAGCATCAGAACCCCGAGACTATAGGCTGGGCTAGGAGAGGTCATGGTCAGGGGCTGAGTCACCTGCTGGCACTGGAGTCTCTGTGATCCCTTCACGGGGCCAGGTTTGTGGATACCGCCTCCGACTACATTTCGATGGGTATTCTGAGTGCCATGACTTCTGGGTCAATGCCAACTCCCCTGACATTCATCCTGCTGGCTGGTTTGAGAAGACAGGGCACAAGCTGCAACCTCCCAAAGGTAAGGCCTGCCCAGGTTGGGCCTGGGAGGCAGTGAGTTCCATAGATCCTCTCTTCTCCCCTGTCAGTCCTCCCTTCCAGCTCCCATGATTGCCAACCCCGCCAGCGTCTCCATCATGTTCTCATATGACTACCCCGGAGCCAAGGCAGAAGCCCTTTAAGTGCTCAGGGGTTTCCTGAGGGTTGTGGGAGTCCTCAGGCCCACCCGATTCTGCTGCTTCACTGTGGGGGTCCCCTCAGCACAGCCTAGCCTCTGCACGGCGCTCTGTCATTCCCCCCCGAGGGGCCTAGGTTACAAGGAGGAAGAGTTCAGCTGGAGCCAGTACCTGCGCAGCACAAGAGCTCAGGCGGCCCCCAAGCACCTGTTTGTGAGCCAGAGCCATGTGAGTGCCCCTGAGCGGGAGTGGACATCACCCTCCAGCCGCCCGGGCCACAGTCACCACAGCCAGCCCAGGGAATCTGACTCATCAGAAAAGAGCTCATCTTCTGGTGATCTCAGCTTTCTGGTCTCTCCTGTCAGGTGCAAGCCTCGCAGCTGAACAGGGCCAAGGGTTAGAGATCAAAGAGGGGAGGGCAGGGGCTGGTTAGAGGTTTTCCCCAGTTCCTTCTGTCCACCCTGTCCTATCTCATTTTCTGTTGCTATAACAAAAATATTCAAGACTAGTTAATGTGTAAACAAAAGAGGTTTGTGTAGCTCGTGGTTCTAGAGGCTGATGGCACCTCAGTGGTGGGAATGCCTATGGAAGAGATCAGAGATCCGAAGGGTGAGTTTGGAAGTCAGGGGACTTGGGGACTCTTGGCTTTTAGTGATTCATTTTTCAAATAAGGATTCACTCTCAAGGGAACTAACCAAGGTTCTTCAAGAACTACACTAGTAGTTCAACCTAATTCTCTCCTGCTAGACACCACCGCTCAACACCATCTCACTGGGCACCAGCCATTGGGAAACATACTCAAACCATAGCCTTTCCCTATGGCAGGATTGTCCATCCAGGCCAGGAGCCCCAGGCCCATCGCCTCGGTCTGTGCACTCACTTGTCACTATAATTCTTTGCATTCTTCAGTCTTTTCGTGTAAGGTCAAAGGCTATTCCACAAACTTCTTTTCTGCTAACATTGAGGTTCTCGTTCATTCCTAACAGCCTTTTAATGTCTTCAAAGGCAGCTGGCATCTTTCACAGCTAAAGTATCTCATGTAATCCCAAGCAAAGGATCCAAAAGATATAAGGAGTTCTTATTGAAATATTCGTATTGGAGGTGTAGTTCAGTGATAGTGTCTGTTCAACATGCATGAGCTCTGTATTGAATCTTCATCATCACACACATGTATGCATGCATGCTCTCTCTTTCTCAACACACACACACAGTTAACATAATGAAGGTTCAAGGTCCCTTTGTGCCACCATTCAGAGATCAGGCAGAGTTATTCTTCTACCCTAGTCCAACCCTAGAGCCCATTCTTTTTTTTTTTTGGTGGGACTTGAATTCTGGGCCTGGATGCTGTCCCTGAGCTCTTCAGCTCAAGGCAAGCACTCTACCACTTGAGCCACAGCACCACTTGCAGTTTTCTGGTAGATTGGAGATAAGAGTCTCTTGGACTTTCCTGCCCAGGCTTTGAGCCATGATCCTCAGCTCTCAGCCTCCTGAGTAGCTAGGATTACACATGTGAGCCACCTGCGCCGGGCATTAGAGCCCATTCTTGCAAGTTCACAGGTGACTGGCAAGGTCCCTCCTGTTTCTGTGATAGGCAGCACAGACTTTTAAGTTGAACTATTGTGTGTGTGTGTGTGTGTGTGCTGGTACTAGGGACTGAACTCAAGGCCTGGATGTTGTCCCTTAGCTTTTTTGTTCAAGGTTGGTACTCTACCACTTGAGTCACAGCTTTACTTCCAGCTTTTTACTGGTTAGTTGGAGATAAAATTCTCATGGACTTTCCTGCCCAGGCTTGGTTCAAGCATAATCCTCAGATCTCAGCCTCTTGAGTAGTTAGGATTACAAGTGTAAGCTACTGGCACCCAGCTATTTTAATCTCTCTCTGTGTTTCTCTCTGTCTCTCTCTCTCTCTGTCTGTCTCTGTCTCCGTCTCTCTCTTTTCTGCTGATACTGGGGCTTGAACTCAAGGCCTGGGCAATTTCCTTTAGTTTTTTCACTCAAGGCCAGACTTTTATCACTAGAGCCACAGCTCTATCTCTTCATCTTCTTGCGGATTAATTAAAGATAGGAGTCTTATGGATTTATCTTCCCAGACTGAACTGTGAACCTCAGATCTCAGCTTCCTGAGTAGCTAGGCTTACAGGTGTGAGCTACTGTCACCTAGCCAGGATTTAACTCTTGACCCTGCCATTGACTAGCATTGTGTTCTGGGTCAAACTATGAGAACAATAATATTTATCCTACAGAATCATTATAAACATGTAGGGAGATGATGTCTTTTGGAATATGGTAGAAGCCTTCTGCCTGGAATATGGCAGATGCCCAGTTACTACTCATTCCCTCTCCTACTTCCTTTAAGTAAAGAACTTGTCAGTGTTCCCTTCCCTACTGCCTGTCTCAGGCCAAGCCAAGCCAAACCAGGCTTGTTCCAGTATGGGGACTTGTCCTCGGCCTGCTATTTGTTGGATGAGAGCAACAGAAGTCCCAAGTCGCTTAGACTTGGCTGATAATTCTGCCCTGGAAGAACTCTTATTTGTAGCCTATTTGTTTCTTTCTTGCTCCTTCTTCACTCCCCAGGCAGGCCTCCTAGATAACTTGCTCCTACATTCAGCAGTGGGCTCTGGGCTAGCTCTAGCTAGCTCTGGCCCTGGCCGTGGCAGCCCTCTTCTTACCCCCAGAGTCCCCCACCCCTGGGCTTCCAGGTGGGCATGAAGCTGGAGGCTGTTGACCGCATGAACCCATCGCTCGTCTGCGTGGCCAGTGTGACTGACGTGGTGGACAGCCGCTTCCTGGTGCACTTTGACAACTGGGACGATACTTATGACTACTGGTAGTGGGGGGACCTAGATTTGATCTGCAGGGGGAGGGGGGTGGCAAGGGCATGACCCCTCTCATAGCTTAGATAACAGCAGACCCCAACCAGTCCACTCCTGGCATTCAGATCCCACTCTGGCTGGGGCTAACAGCCTGTCCTGTGGAGTTGAGCTGTGTCATAAGACACACAGCTCAGCAATACATGCTTCACCACAGCTCTCCCTTAGATATTACAGGTAATATGGCAGTTTTGTGCCCTTTATCAGCTACCTGAAACTATACTGTATGGCTGAAGACCCCAGCCCTCCGTGTTTCTCTTGGACAGTGACCAATGATGTGTTCTTGGGTTTCAGGTGTGATCCCAGTAGTCCCTACATCCACCCAGTGGGCTGGTGCCAGAAGCAAGGAAAGCCCCTCACCCCTCCACAAGGTGAACCTGAAGCCCACCTCCCCGCACCCCTGCCCTTCACCAGCACCTCAGTAGTGGCCTCTTTAGGGTCAGAATAAGGAGACAGATAGGGCCTGGGGCCTCAGCTTCTTGGCCAAGTTGTTGAGAATCCTGTGTGTGTGTGTGTGTGTGTGTGTGAGAGAGAGAGAGAGAGAGAGAGGGAGAGAGAAAGAGACAGACAGACAGACAGACAGGCAGACAGGCAGACAGGCAGGTAGGCAGACAGAGAGGAAGAGAGAGAGAAAGAGAGGGAGGGAGAAAGGGAGATGGATGGTCCTCAGGCTTGAACTCGGCCTGGGTGCTGTTCTTCAGTTGTTTGGGGATTTTTGTTTGTTTGTTTTGTAGTTGTTGTTGTTGTTTTCTCAAGGCTAGCTCTACCACTTTAGCCACAGTTCTACTGCTTGCTCTTTGGTAATTAAATTAGAAATAAGAGTTGCATGGACTACCTAGGCTGACTTTGAAACATGATCCTCAGATCTCAGCCTCCTGAGTAGCTAGGGTTACAGGCATGAACCACTAGCACCCCACCCTTTTATTTTTTATTTTGATTTTTATTATTTATTTTGGTTGGTCGTGGGGGCTGAACTCTGGGCCTGGGAGCTGTCTCTCAACTCTTCAGCTCAAGGCTAGTGCTCTACCACTTGAGCCACAGCACCACTTCTGGCTTTTTTCTGCTTATGTAGGGCTAAGGAATCGAACCCAGGGCCTCATGCATGCAAGGCAAGCACTCTACCACTAAGCCAACTTCCAAGTCCTTGTTATTTTTTTTTAATATTTGGAGTATACTATCAAACCCTGATTCTGGTTAGACTTAATGGATAAAACTTAGGTGACCTACCTCAGCAGACATAGGGTCCAAAGCAAAGTAAGTGACGCCTTCCTCCTGGGAGGGTCTCTGGACCCTGTACAATAGCGTTTGAGATGGGACTGAAAGGGAACAGAGAGTTACAGGTGATGTGAGCTGTGGTTCCCAGACATCCCTGTGAGCTCTTAGGGCACTGCACGCTTTGGTTCTCACCAGGACCCATTCCCTCAGTAGGGTCTCTGCCCCTTCCATGTTTGTATTCCTGTCTGAGGGCAAAGAATTTCCCTAGTCACCTGGGTGACTAGACATTCCTCTCCCCTCTTCTCTAGACTACCCAGACCCGGATAGCTTCTGCTGGGAGAAATATCTAGAAGAAACTGGGACCTCCGCTGTGCCCACCTGGGCCTTCAAAATGGTGAGCGTGAGCTGGGAGAGCGGTGGAGCTCTCAGCCAGCCAGGATGGGGTTCTTGCTCCTCCCCTCCCCCACCTCGGTGGTTGGGTAATAGATTTCCTGGGCGTAGCATGTGGACCCCCTTCTCAGCTCTCCTGATCTGGGCCTTGGCTTGAAAGCAGCTGTCCTCTTGCAGAGACCCCCTCACAATTTCCTGGTCAACATGAAGCTGGAGGCCGTGGACCGCAGGAACCCATCCCTGATTCGGGTGGCCAGTGTAGAAGATGTGGAGGACCATCGGATAAAGGTGGTTCTGGGACCCTGGGAAACAGACAAGTCATTTGGACAGAAAGTCTCTAGACTGGTAAAAGGTCAAGTGTATGGCATGAGCCATTCTTTCTTTATCAGTGCTCTTTGTGGGCTTAAAACAAGTTGCTTGTCTTCTCTGAGACTTAGTCTTGCTATCTGTAAGATGGGCCTAGTAAGTCTTAATCTTACCCAGAAATTGATGAGAGTTGCTAGTAATTTATAAACTGAAGCCCTTGGAAAAGTGGGCCAAGACCAATGATAGTGGAATTAGCCTTTGGGTTTTTCCAATCCAGGACCTTGATTGTCACAGGTCCAAGGGATGGGGAGAGGCTTCTGCAGCCTAGAGGGCCTCCCAGCTGAGCTGGGCCATGAGAGACATGTCTAACCTTCAAGGATCTTTCTTCTTCAGCTCCACTTTGATGGCTGGAATCACAACTATGACTTCTGGATCGATGCTGACCATCCAGACATCCATCCTGCAGGCTGGTGCTCCAAGACAGGACATCCTCTGGAGCCTCCTCTCCGTGGGTATCCCCAGGATGCTATCTTTTCCCCTCCCACCAACCCCTGACAACTCTTCCTTCCTGTATCCTGGTATACCCACAGTGAGCTCCAGAATCTGGACTTCCCTGCTCAGGACTACCTGCTACAATAAGCCAAGAAATAGGCCCAGAGACGGAGGGTATGGCTGCAGGTCGCAGTCTTATTTCCCCTAGTCAAGCAGATATCCTGTGGCAGGACTGGTGGCCCAACCTGGCTCAGGTCCTTGAGAACTAGTTCTTACTACAGCTGACCTTCTGCATTCCGGAGGTCATGTTCTGGCCTCTAGGACCCTATGCCAACTTCTCTCCCTGCCCTTCCAGGACCCAGAGATCCCAGCTCTGCTTCTCCTGGGGACTGCTCCCCCCTCAGCTACAGGAGCCTGCCGCACACCAGAACCTCCAAATATAACTTTCACCAGCGGTGAGTGCAGGCCTCTTGTTCAGAGAACCTCAGGCATGGTTCAAGGATGGCCCCCACAGTTCACTAAAGGGGGCCTGAGTTGGAGAGGGCTCTGTGGGGACAAATGGAGCCCACCTGGGCCTTCAAGGTGGTTGGTGAGTTGTGATGCTCCCTCGAGAGCTGAGTTCATGCCACGTACTTGACCTTCTTCCCCAGAAAGTGTCCCACTCCTGGCTGTGATGGTTCTGGTCATGTCACGGGCAAGTTCACGGCTCACCATTGCCTCTCTGGCTGCCCGCTGGCTGAGAGGAACCAGAGCCGGCTGAAAGCAGACCTGTCTGACTCAGAGGCTTCGGCCCGGAAGAGGAACCTTCCAAGCTTGTCCCCGAGGAAGAAGCCTCGCCACCATGGCAGGTGCGGAGCCCAGGGAATCGGGGCCTGGGCGTTCTGGGTGTGGGACCTCATGTCGTCTCGAGCCAGCCGCTGATCCCCTGCTACGGGCCTGGTTTCTCGCTCTAGGATTGGACGTCCTCCAAAGTATCGCAAGATTCCACAGGAAGATTTTCAGAGTAAGTGTGGGTCCTCTCCCCATCCCCCACTCCCCGAGTTTGCACAGAGCACACAGGATTGGTGTTTATAAAACCTAGTGGTTGTGTGCTTGTATGGTCTGTTTTTGGGATAGGAGCATCTCTGGTGTCTCATTGTATATTCAAACTTCCTGAGCCTCAGCATCCCTCACTTGTCAAATGCAGATGATGATAGTTCTTACCTCATGTGTGATGGGAGATCTAAGTGGGACAGTCTAAGTGCCCAGCATACTACCTGTAGGTAGAGTTACTGCTGGGTCTCTCGCCCGACTCTCTCCTGCTGCTGCTTCATACCGTTTTTTTTTCTTGGTGGGGATAGAAGGCTCTTCCTGCAGCCTCAGACCTGAGTGATGAGGTCTTGGCCAATCTCTAGGTCCTCTGATGAGGGATTCGGAAGATCAGATGGTAATGGACCCCACTTCTGCCCACCATTGTATCCCATTGCAGGATAGAAATCTGACCTCCAGAGGGCGCCCCCTAACCAACTGTTGTGTAGAGTTCTTAGGAAGTCCATCTTTCTAGAAAGCTGAGACTTTGTTCAAAGAGGGGGAGAGGGACTCACAAAGGCACAGAAGCATTTCAAGGACAGAGTGACCTCTGCAGGGTTTTCCCCTGCTGTGCAGATGGCCTCTAGCCCAGAAGGGATATTGGTTACCACTGACCCTTCTGGAGGAGATGCTTCACACACCTTCTCTATACAGGCTCAAGGTGTGCTGGTGACTGTCCCATGGGGAGGGTACCCGGCTGCCCATTGTTGAGACCCCAAGAGGGTTGGTTGTTTGAAAGCATTATTGGAGCCATTTTAAAACACCATGACTGTCTGTGAGAGCCTGGCTGTGGGCCTCCTGGCCTTCTCCAAGGTGTGAAGAGTTCCAACCTCAGTGTGCCAGAGGCCAGAGCGTGGCCAGGCGGAAGAAGTGCTAGTAGATCTTAGGCGATTTCTGGATGTGCCCCATTGGGTCAGGAGAGGAGGGGATGGTTAGGAGAAACAGCAACTTGTTAATGATTAGGAAGGGGTGGAGGTGGGGGGTGGAGGGGGCAGTGCTTGAGTTTGCACTGGCCAGCAAAGGGCAGCAGGGAAGAGGGTCACAGAAGCCCATTAGTGGGGCCTGGCACAGGAACCTCAGGCTTTGGGCAGAGGAACAAGAGTCGTGAGAGGCCGAGGCTTAGAGAGAGGCTGGCACAGTGCGATGAGCAGGGAAGGCCACAGAGGAGAGGGAGCCACAGAGGTGCGACATTTGTGAATGTCAGAAATTAGCAGGAAAGAACAACTCTCAGGGCCAGAGGTGTGGCTCAGGTGGTAGAGAGCCTGCCTAGCAAGTGCAAGGATCTGAGTTCAAACCCCAGGACAGCTGAGGCTAGAACAGCCAAGTTGAGTAAGGCCCTGGGGCTGGGCGGGGGTGTGGGGGGGGCAGGGGAGTGCCAGGCCTGCCAAAGAAGAGGCCAGCTAGGCAGAGCAGCGTTGTTCACCAGATCCACAGGGCCAGGATTCCCCAGCAGAGCAGGAAGTGAAGCTGGGGAGCCAGTCAGGGCTCTGGGGCCAGCTCTGAGAAAGCTGATCAGGACCCAAAGGCCTTCAGGAAAAAAGGGCAAACAGAACACACCCCTGGCATAAGAGCCAAGGGTGTTGGGGGAGGGGTGGTGGTAGTCAGGGACCAAGCTTTTGGCAGGCATCTTGAGAGCAGCTCTGAGACCATCTTTCAGAGCTAGAGGCAGGGAGGCTACATCCCAGACTAACGAGTCCAGAGTCACCCAGCCAGTCAGAGCTTCTGTAAGTGAGCAGCCTCCTTGACCAGAGCAAGAGCCTCTGGTCACCCTCTTGACTCCGCAGGCCCTCTGAAGGGGCCCTTGGCCTGCCACCTGAGCCCAGCAGCCTCGCAGATGGCTTGGTTGTGAGTGGTCTTTGACACTGGCCCTCCAGCCTCCTCCTCTGCTTCACAGCCCTCCCTCCTGACGTCCTGCACCAGTCCTTCTTCCTGTCGGCCCTGTCCACCCACCCCGACCGCTCGCTCTCCATGTGCTGGGAGCAGCACTGCAAGCTCCTGCCAGGCGTGGCAGGCATCTCGGCCTCCACGGTCTCCAAGTGGACCATCGAGGAGGTGAGACACCCCCCATCCCACTCCTCGGCCGCCTCCTCTCCCTTTTTGCCCTGCATCTTCCTCTCACCACACCTGGTGGGGCAAGTCCCTGGGCAGGTGGACCCTCATGCCACTCCTGACTGCCCCTCCTGCTCATCCATCCTGTCCACAGTCCCTCTAGCTACCCAGTGTGGCCGACGGAGCCACTATCCCACATGGCCACACAAGGTAGATGGGCGGGGATAGATATCTAGCAGAAGACTTGGGCTTTGTCCCTAGATTTCAGGAGTAAGGGGCCTCCCCTCACACGCACACGCGCGCACACACACACACACACACACCAGCATTGAGACACAGAGATCCTCTGGGGCTGATGAGAACAAGCAACGCTGACCCAGCTGTGCAGTCCCAAGGCTACAAAGGCCAGCCCTTCCTCCGCGGTTTTAGTCCGTATCCTGGTCAACACAGCTTCTCTGCTTTCCAAGGTCTTTGGCTTCGTTCAGACCCTGACAGGTTGTGAGGACCAAGCACGCCTCTTCAAAGATGAGGTAAGGTGCAAGTGTAGATGGGGGACAGAGACAAGGTCACTGTATCATTGAAGCAGCAGGAAGGAGGTGCCCTCACCAGCACTCCCCTGACCAGAAGATTGAACCCAGGGCTTCATGCATGCTAAGGGGGTCTCTGTTACCTAAACAACTAAGACTAGTCATAGGCACCCCCCATGTCTGGGAAGAACTTGGTATGGACTATGGACCAGCTAGGGATCACCACATGTTCACATCACCTTCAGGAGGGAAAACACAGACTAGAAACAGGATTCTATTTGCTCTCTGCTCTCTGCCCAGTCTAGTTTTCAAACTTAGCTTCACCAGTGGCAGTGAGTTGAAGGATTTAAGGATTTAGGGGACTGGAGATGGAACCCAAAGCTTCACACAGGTGAAGCGGAACACAGACTATTTTGAATGACACAGGTGTTAGTGTTTACTGCAAGGGTCCTTACACAGACTAAAATTGAGGTCCAAGAGATTAGCAAAGCTGAGAAGCACAGAATGGCAGCTCTGGAGACAGTCTGTATGAGTCCCAGCTCTGCCAATTTAATTATTTACCTCTGAGCCTGCATCTTTATATAATGGAGACAGAGTGAAGTGTCAACAGGGCAGGGCCATGATGAGTGTTCCAAATGAGGACTGAATCATTCCACCAGGACATCTAGTATAATTAGACGTGATAGCACTGGTGTGTGTACATGTATAGCAATATTATAGCATCATACGTTCATCCTGTCACTATACCAGAAAGCCTGATTGGGGGAGGGAGAGGCTCTGTAAGTAGTCTGTGACTTTTAGTGCATAGTTACTCTCACAAATAAAGAGCTTTCTCAGAACTGTCTTAATTTGTAGTTTGAAACGAGGAAAGATCTTTGAGGTTCTTGTTAAGTCCCCCCCAAAAGAATGTATGCATCCTTCCTGTGCATCCCCCCTCCCAAGGAATGTGTGCTCTGCTGCGCAAGCTGTCAAGCCTGGAATGGACAGATCCTCCTCCTCCAGGCCTAGCAAAGCTTGCTTCTTCCCCATTCCGAGGGTTCCCCTTGCTCCTTGCCTGTCAATCTCACTTGGATGCATGTGCCGCCCCCCCCCCAGATGCTCTCCTGTTCCCAGTGAGTTTTGACCAACATGGAGCACACTGAAAAGCTTCTGACCTGCACAGGTTGTTGTTTTAGGTTTTTGTTTCCTTTGGTTCTTGTGATTGTTGTTTATTTTGGTCAGAGGGCTTAAACTCAGGACCTTGTGCATGCTGAGCCCATGCTTTACCAGTTGAGCTCTACCCCCGATCCCCAGATGTTGTGTTTTTTTTTAAAGTATCTTTAAATAGCTGTACAAAGGGATTTCAATTCAGCAAATCAGTTTGTAAACCCAGTGCATCTTGATCAATGTCACCCCTTGTGCCTAGATGGGTTGTTGTTGGTGGTGGTGGTGGTGGTTTGCCAGTCCTAGAGCTTGAACTCAGGGCCTAGCATTGTCCCTGACCTTCTTCTGCTCAAGACTAGCATTCTTCCACTTGAGCCACAGTGTCACTTCCAGCTTTTTCTGTTTATGTGGTACTAATAAATCTAACCCAGGACTTCATGCATGCAAGGCAAGCACTCTACCACTAAGCCACATTACCAGCCAGCTCTGGCTGTTTTTGAATTCGTATATATGGAGTCAGACAGCATATGTGCCTTTAGCTACCTGCAATGGTTTTGAGGTCTTCATGTGCTTCAGCTTGTACTTGTAGCTTGTGATTACTAAGATTGCACCAGATTATGAATATGCACAAGTGCTCCTGTTCATGGACATGTAAATGTTCTCCTTTCCCCAAGGCTGTAGCCTCTAGCTCCACAACTAGCTTTTTCCATCCTGCCTCTACCCTAGGATATAAGCCCTAAACAATTAGCAGTATTTCACACAGTTGCTTCACAATAGCTGCTGGTTTGGAATGAAACAATTTGAAGCAAATTACAGACATCAAGATATTGCACCCCTGAATACCCTAGTTCTTATCTCTGAAACCAAACGTTTTCTCTGCATAATGACAATACGATGGCTCTCGCCATGACAAATCAAAAGGACCTCCTGGCAATCATTCCATACCCAGGTTTATTTCAATTTCCCCAGTTGCCACATTTTGAGCCAGGATCCAAGTAAGTCCCTCATAATGGATTTTGGTTGTTACATCTCTTAAAATACTTTCTTTCTTTTTTTGTGAGCATGTCAAAGTACTGAGGCTTGAAATCAGGGCTTTGTGCTGTTGCTTAGCTTTTCCACTTATGTCTGGCACTCTACCACTTGAACCACACCTCTTCTTCTGTTTTTTTTTTTGTTGGATAATCGGAGATAAGAATCTCTCAGATCTCAGCCTCCTGAGTAGCCACTGGCACCTGGTTTAGATAGCTTCTATTCTAGTATGGCCTCTGTCATTTGTGTGTGTGTGTGTTATATGTGTATGTATGTGTAGGACATTTTAAGAAGTCTCACAGAATGTATACTTCTGATTTTGTCTTGCTACCATGTGGTGTCACTTGACCTTGCCTTTCTAATTGTTTATATTTCCTATTACAAACTAGGTCCAAAGTCTTGTTTAGATTTTAGATTCAGGTTCTGATTCCCCCCTCTCTCTTCCTCTCTCTGTCTCTGTCTCTGTTTCTGTCTGTGTGCCTCTCTCTCGATCTCAAGGACAGGTGGTGGGTAACATGCTATACCTTGTATGCACCATTGTGGAATACACATGGTGGTGTGCCCAGTCCTATTAGCAAGCACTAAAGTTAACTAATGGCTTCATTGGTCATGTTGTGAGGACCACACTAGCAAGATTTTGTGGTTGTTTTATGTTCATTTGTTTTGTTTCTGCTTTAGGTGTTTCAAAGATGTTGATCACACTTACTGACTCAGAGGTCATTACACAAATACAGTGAGTTCAGGGAAACCTGTGAGGTAGATGGCACAGCTTAGAATCTGGGCAAGGGTGGCTTTAAAGGGGTCTTTAAAGGGGCTCCTACTCTCCTAGACCCTATACTGACAAGAGTACTGCACTGGGCCTCATGCTCAGCTATCCTGTCTTGAAATTTAGGATATATGTTGGAGCAGTGGGCTTTGCATTTTCATTTTATATTGAGTCACAGTCTATACAGTGAGGCAGCAGCAACAACAGGTATAGGATATTGCAGAAAAAAATGCTGAAACTCAGACTGGTCAGCAGAAAGAGAGAATGCATGCATGTACCAATAGTTGAACCAGTGGCTATCTTTCTTTCCTTCTCTGTCCCCACGGCTGTCTTCCTTTTCTCCTCTCTCCTTCCCTTCTCCTTTCTCCGGGCCCTTCCTCCTCTCCTCTCCCTCCTCCTTTCCTTCCCCCCCCCACCATAACACATCCTTTATTCCCATTTTCTTTCTCCCCTCCTGACTCCCCATGCATATCCTGCCTTTCCTTCACTCCGTCCCCACAACCCTTGCCACCTTCTCCACTCTCCACCTCCCTCTCCTGACCCCTCAGATGATTGACGGCGAGGCCTTCCTTTTGCTGACACAGGCGGACATTGTGAAGATCATGAGCGTCAAGCTGGGCCCAGCCTTGAAGATCTATAACGCCATTCTCATGTTCAAAAATGCTGATGACACCTTAAAGTGACTGGCCTGGGGCTGGGCCTTCCTCCATTTCCTTGCTGGGTCTCCCTCTCCAGCTGATGCTTCCTTCCCAACTTGAGTTCCTCATTCCTCCACCCGCGCCCCTCACCTTCTTTATCTGACCAGGGCTGAGCATTTCCAGAAGGTGTGTGGGAGCAGAAGAGCCTTGGAAAGGTGGAGTCTGGCCCCCTGTTCCTGTCAGTCCTGGAGCTCATTTGCCTCTGTTGCACAGTGAGGGTGAGCCTGGGCTGGGGGTGACTGCTGGGGTGAATTACTGGCACCCCACATCTCCAGCTGACTCAGTTGGCACCAAAGGCTGTTTGTCTTAGCAGTGAGGATAAGCCTGGTGGGAGTTCTGTAATCCGAGGTTCTGTTTCCTTTGGCATCTCTACATACCCTTCTCTCTTCCTTCTCTCCTTTCTTCCTACCAAGAAGTGCCCCTGCCACACACATTACACATTTACCGCTCTGCCTGTGGTTTTATACCCTTTCTCTGCTACCCGAATCCTGGTCAGTGCTCCAGCTGTGGTTCGGCTAGACCCTATGGTTCTTCCCACTTAGAAATGGGAGCCTCAAACAAATGGCATCAGGGACCCACTGGGAGTCCCTGGCTGTCTTTCTCCCTTTTGCCCATCAGTGGCAGAGATTCAGAATGAAGAGGTGTCTTGAATATTCCCAGTTCGGGACTGCTTGGTATTGAAGTGGTCCATGCCAGGGTCTAGTTCCAACAGAACAAGCAAGGGGTTGGAGTCTGGTTTACAACTGGCAAGAGGGTGAGGTGTGCCATACCTTTTCATTGTTGTGGCTGGAGAAGAGGAAGTCATGCTTGGTGAGGTGCCCGGGCCCTCTATCAGCCCAGAGGGGAGGTGTCAGGCAATCCTGGGTCTTTGGCCAGTGGGGCAGTATTTCCAAATGCTGAGGTCTGAGTTGTGGAGTTTAGTGATGGCCTCCTGCCAGGAGAATGTAGCACTCTGTCTAGCACGCAGCCCCCTGGGATGTCACATTCCATCTGGCCCTTTTACTCTTGAGGAGTCTTACAAAGACCATTTAAAGTTGGGAGTGAGGAAGGCAAACTGTCCTGTCTGAACTGTCCAGGTCCCTGAAACCCCCATTGCCACGCCATCTGACTTATACTGCCAGCTGCGTCCCTGCTGGGGCTCTAGGATGTGGGCCTCTCCATCCAAGAGTAGACTCAGCCTCCACTGAGCCACTGCCAAACCTGCCTCCCAGCCTAGGTGGAGAGGGCCAGAGCCAAGTAGGAGTCAGCCCCACATGAAGGCTGGAACCAGTGCAAAGCTCCTGTGCCCTCAGGTGCTGAGGTGGCCTGCCGTCTGAGGAGCCCAAGGGTCCTTCCTGAGGCCCCTTCTCAGTCATGTGACATGTGTGTGTATGTGTGTGTGTATGTGTGTGTGTGTGTGTACACACAACACTCTCAGGCATGTTGGACAGGGTGCAGGTGTGAGGCTCGGTGTTGTGTATGTCAAGGGCTATAGTTACAATACAAAGCTTTATTTTTTCCCTTAGAAGTAGCAAAGCTGCAGCTCTATTGGTTTCCTGCCACAGTCCTCTAGGGAATTCTCCCCCAAGGACCAGCAGCTTTTCTGGGTCAGCCATTCAGCTGCCAATTTGCCTCTGAAGAGCCTCAGAAGCATCTCCCTTTGCTTTCAGACTTGAGGGATGGCTCAGAGCACAAGCCTCCTGGGAAGACACAGGGAAGGCTGGGTTTACAGCGATGACATCACTGCCTCTTGGCTGAGAGCAGTGAGGAGCAGGTCTGCCCTCTCTTCTCTTAGCTACCTCGTAGCAATGGAAATCATGGAGGTCATTGGCTCTTTGGTCTTAGCCTTTTCCTGAGCTGCTCCCCCTGGTGGTGGGATGAGGGAGCAGCGTGAAGTCAGAGCCAGCGCCTGGGACCACACAACCTCTTCTAGGGAGAGGGACCAGGGAAGCCTTTGCCTGTGGATCTGTGAATGATACCTGCCTGTGGGAAAGGTCAGATGGAACAAAGGCCTTGGAGATATAGCCCCCAGGCCTCCAGATTTTGAGGCCTCAGCACTTTCTGCTCTAACATCAAACTCTTTGGAAAGAAACGGAATCGTTTAAAAAAAAAAGGTGCAATGAAATCTGCTTTCTGTCCATTCCACGGCCCATTCACCTCTGCTGTGTCCCCAAATGGCCTCATTGTACCTTGTCCTGGGAGCACAGGCGGGGAGGGGCGTGGGTAGCAGTTGCTGGCACCCTGTGCCCTGCTCTCCAGAGCCAGTAGCCACTTACACTTTGGCCTGCAGTTACACCCAGTTCCTGCCCAGTCCTGGCCTAGGTCAGGGATGACCTTTCAGTTTAATTTCTAAGTTTAATTTCTAAGAATGGTCCCAGAGTTTGAAAACGAAACCTTGTTGCACTTTCCTTCACATGCACTTTGGTGGAGTAGCATATTTTGTATTTGCCTTGTAGTTGTGTGTGTGTGTGTATGCGTGCGTGTGTGTATGTGTGTTTGTGTGTGCACACTTGTGATCTTTTAAGAGAATTCTCTGGTTTAAACTAAAGTGACTCTTGAGGGAAGAAAAGCTACAAGCAAAATGTGGAGTGATTTGTCAATGTACTGAAACAACAAAAATAAATTCAGTCAACTGGATGATACATGCAGCCAGAGTCTGTTTTGTTTTGTTTTTTTTTCCAGAAAACACACAGTGAACACCTGAGCTGCCATTGCTGAAAGGGACCCAAGTATCTCCCTGCTGTTAGGTAGAGTCCTGGAGAATCTGTTTAATACTGTTAAAAAGATAGGGAAGAAGTTGAGTGTCAGTAGCTTGTGATAATCTTAGCTAGTCAAGAGGTTGAGATCTAAAGATTATGGTTTGAAGTCAGCCTGGGCAGAAAAGTGTATGAGGCTCCATTTCCAACTAATCAGCAAAATAGATAAACGGGAGGTATGGCTCAAGTGGTAGAGCACCAGCTGTGAGCAAGAAAAGTCAAGCAAGAGCACAAGGCTCTATGTTCAAACCTCAGAATGAGGAGGGAGGAGGAGACAGGAAACAATGGATAGCAGTATAGCTGCCTACACTGAAGCATAGCAATGAGAATCCTCATATAGCAATGTGGAAAAGGCCTAATCTTCAACATCCTATAAATGGGCAGTGGAAATCCACTGTCGTCTTCAGATTTTTTTTTTTCAGTTGTGGGGCTTGAACTCTGGGCCTGGGCGCTGTCCCTCAGCTCTTCAGCTCAAGGCTAGAGCTCTACCACTTGAGCCACAGCGCCACTTCCAGTTTTCTGAGTGGTTTCTTGGAGATTGGAGTCTCATGGCCTTTCCTGCCCAGGCTGGCTTTAAACCATGATCCTCAGATCTCAGCCTCCTGAGTAGCTAAGATTACAGGTGTGAGCCACCAGCACCCAGCTGAAATCTTCCCTCTTAACATTCTTTAATGTCATGATGAAATCTTACATAAACAGTAAGTTCAGTAAGGCATTTGTACAGCTCATAGATAATATCAGATCTATTTCAGAGAAACAAGATCTTGACCTTCTTGCTATCTTTTCAGCCTGACCCCTCCTACCTACACCTGTTGAACCTTCTACTTACCAGAAGTCAATCCTCTGCCAGCAAGAAAAGGAAAAAAAACAAAAAAAACCACTGACATATAAAAAATGGGCTTCTGCCAGGTGCTGGTGGCTCATGCCTGTAATCCTGGCTACTCAGGAAGCTGAGATCTGAGTAATGCGGTTCAAAGCCAGCGAGGGCAGGGAAGTCCATGAGACTCTAATCTCCAATAAACCACTCAGAAAACTGGAAGTGGCGCTGTGGCTCAAGTGGTAGAGCGCTAGCCTTGAGCTGAAGAGCTGAGGGACAGCACCCAGGCCCAGAGTTCAGGCCCCACAACCGGACCCCAAAAAAAAGTTAAAAAAAAATATCAAAGACAGAAGGATGGAGGATATTCTGCACTCTGTCAGAGTTCCATAAACTAGTGTATCAATCTCTGTAAAAATATCAAATATGCAGTCAAACACTGATTGAACCTATCAGAGTAAATCATCTAGTGACATTGGAGCCAGCACACTGGTTTAGGTGACAAAACCTACAGAGGGATTTCTCAGTGCGTATATCCATCATTGAACAGCACATGACTATATGCATATACATAGAATATATGTGATATATGTAATATCCATATGTAGTTTCTGAAGTCATCTGGTGAAGCAATTCTAAGTCCTCAGGAAAAGGAGAAGTGTGTGTTGAATGGATAAAGTCTAAATCTCTATGCTGTGGAGTAAGAAAGAGGCCCTTGGAAGGCTTACTTGACTGAAGTCTGGAAGAAGAGCAGCATTAGTCCAGTATTCACACACAGACACAATGTTCCAAATGTTCCAAAGGGAACATTAGAAAAAGGTGAGGAAAGTGGGGAAGAAACTGATTTTTTAATTTAAATTTTATTGTAAAGGTGATGTACAGTGGAGTTACAGTTATATAAGTCAGGTCATGAGTAAATTTCTTTTTGAACAATGTCACCCCCTCCTTCATTTTTTCCCAGTTTCCCCCATGAAACTGATCTTTTCCTTATCCACCTACAAATACTATTGGATTTTTCAATTGTGTTTCTTTGGGGTTTTTTATTGTTGTTATTTTACTTTCTAGGATACTTGTTTTTCCAAAAAGAAAACCATGGCCTATATTCCTCCTGTGAGTAAGTCTGCTGGGTGACGGTCCTGCTCACGTGGGAAATGGATTTCTCTGTACTGACTCTGACCCATTCATTTATTTCATTCTGCCTGTAGATGAATCTGCAGGTGAGGCTAGTGGTGAACATGGGGCAGGGGCAGATAAAGACCCTATAGGTGAGCTGCAGTATGTCAAGGGGGAAAGGGGAATATTCACGGAATGGGGGACAGATACCTTTTGGCTCATGGTTTCAATCCAAACTGGGCTGGCTCCATCACCTGGGACCTGAGATGAAGCAGAACATCATGACAGGGACAATGACAAAGCACAACTGCTTACCTCATGGAATCCAGGAAATAGACAAAGAGGGGCACAGGACAAGATATAGCCCCCAAGGACACCCCCCCCAGCCAGTATCTATTGCCTTCAGCTATTTCTACTTCCAAATATGGCCATAGCCTCTCAATAATGCCATCACATGATGAATCCATCAGTGGATTGACCTAATCATTGATTAGATCAGAGTCTTTATGGTCTAATCACCTCTCAGTGGTTGCATCCACCAACCTGGGATCAAGCCTTCAACACCCAGCCTTCTGAGGAATGCGCTCAGCCCTAATAGTGAGTCCCACTGGTGGTTCCGTCTTCTACCCTGAGAACATATCTTTGACCATTGTATCCAATCAAGAGTGCATTCAAGGAGGATGGCAGTAAGGAGGAATATGTCATTGTACCAGTGGCCTTGATCATTATCTGCACATCATTAAGAAAGAAGGGCAAGGCCAAGGCTAGTGGCTCACACCTGTAATCCTAACAACTTGGAAGACTGAGACTGAGTTAGCCTGGGAAAACAGAACTTTGAGACTACAATTAAGCAACAAGGAGCAGGAACTGGAGGCTTGTTGGTGCCTCCCGTTTGTGTTAGAATGCCAGCTGTGAGTGAAAAATTCACACGAGTACTTGAGGCCCTGAGTTTAAGCACCCCCACCAAAAATAAATAAAAGGAGAAAGGGCAAGTTCAAACATTGCTAGCAGGCTTTGTCAATTGCTTTTTTTTTTTTTTGAGGTAGTACTCACTATGTAGTCCAGTCTTCCTGCCTCTGCCTCTCAAATACTGGAATTAAAAACATACCATTATACCCATCTCTACCAAAGTCAGTTGACACAACTTTATATAGTAACATGGTAGATAAATCAGAAATCATCAAGTGCTCCCACTTACAGGAGTTTCTATCAGGCAGAAGTACTAGCACAATGCCACAGGATACAAATGCAAAAGCTATTCTCTGGAGCCTTACTCCAAATTTTTGTGTGTGCCAGTACTAGGGCTTGAACTCACAGCCTTGGGCTAAGCTAAGGGACAGTTCCTTAGCTTTTTCATGCAAGGCTAACATTCTACCTCTTGAGCCACAGCTCTACTTCTAGCTTTTTGGTGACTAATTGGAGACAAGAGTCTCATGAAATTTTATTCCCTGGCTGGCTTCGAACTGTGATCCTCAGATCTCAGCCTCCTGAGTAGCTAGAATTACAGATATGAGCCAGCTCAATGTTTTGAAGACTGTAACAGTCCCAATGCTCAACAACAATGGAAGGGGGAACTTGCATTATGAAAATAGTCTCACTCTATACAGTATCACACAGCTGTTAAAATAAATTCAATCTCTCCATGTTGGCATGGAGAGAGATACACAGGAGAAAAGGAAGCGACTTAAGGAGCAGTATGTTCTCTGGAAGAAAATAGGTGACAATCTGTCCTTTCAGGCACAGACCAAAGTCTGGAAGGATTGTCACTCCTTAGCTGTTGCATTCACCTCGGGAAAGGAGATTGGAGATAGGGTTGGAGGAAGCTTTCACTTTTTATATGAGCTTCTTCTGAATGTTGAAATTCTTGGAGACAGGGTGTGCAATCAACACTATTGTGGGATTTTTTTTAAAACCCAGCTCTGGGAGTCAAGGAAGGAGGAGTCTGGTAGAGCAGCAACACAGCAGGGGCCTAAGGGACAGGCTCCCTGGCTGCTGTCCTGATTTGCTCTGTGCACTGGGGCCAGCCACCTCCCTTCTCTGGGCCCAGGCCAGACACCAGCTACAGTGACACACTGGGGGAGGTGGGGAGTGTGGCCACGCAGAACTCCTCTGAACCACAGTTCTTAAAGCACTAGACCTGACCATGAAGTTGTTGACATCTTGATGAAATGACAGGAAGCAGAATGAAAGTCACATTGACTTTCACAGTGCCTTCTGAGAGGTCACTGGCCAGAGCTTTTGTCAGCTGTCTAGTGGGCAAGGTCCTGCATGGCTTGGGTTAGAAACCCTTGGCTTGGGCAACGTAGAGTTGATCGCAAGAAAGCTTTTTGCTCCATGGGAGCTGGGAACGGCTGGGCCCTGGGTCCCTGAGCCTTGTATCTCCAAAGGGCAGAGCAAAGTACAGATCTGAGCTCAGCTCTAATTCTCTTTCCAGGAGGGTGCCAGGGAAGGAACACCCTGAATTCCAGACATTGGCTAAACACAAGAATTCCAGAGGTGGCCAACAGTGAGGCTGGTGCAGAGGCCGTGAGCTGACCTTCCCTGGAAGTATCTATAGGACTAAGCACAGAGGCTAATGGAAGAGAGAACTGGATGAGGTCCCCATTATTCGTTCTCCAGCTCCAAGGGAAAGGGAAAACGGCCTAGCTGATGGAATCAGGGAGAGTTATGGGGAACAGTGGGCATTTGAGCTGAACTTCAGAAGGGGGGAAATTTCAGAGAATGAACACATGAGTGTTAAAAGGGACCTGAACTGGGAGAGATTGAGGGAAGGGGTGACATTGTCCAAAAAGAAATGTACTCTTTACCTGACTTTTGTAACAGTAACCCCTGCAAGCATCACCTTTATAATAACAATTTTAAAAATTATAAAAAGGAAAGAGACTTGGGAGACCCTCCCTCAAGGCCCAGCACCCCCCTTCACCCCTTCACTTGAGGCTCTGGTAGCTGAAATCCCTCGCCCAAGGTCACATAGCTGAAGTTGTGTAGTAGCTTTTAACACTTCACAGGGTCTCCAGAGCCAGGGCTGTCCAGAAGCCAGTGGGCATAGCTAGCATGGTGATTCAGTACAGCGGTTAATTAGTAACTTGAAGGCCCCAAAAGCGAGCTCTCAGCTGGCAGAGCTGGGAGATTGAACTTGAGTTGGTTTGAGAGCTAGGCGAGTGGGTGACAGGTCGTTCCTGTCCGGGAAGGTTGCTCAGTGAGTCAGGATTGGGTTTCAGGTCAGAAGGGCCAGGAAGACAGAGAGACGGCAGAGCTCTTCAGGACCTGCTGTGGGACCCAGGGATTCCAGGTGAGGGGCTCACCTGGGAACAGGGCATCTGCTTGCTGGCCTGCTGGTCTTGGGAATTAACTACTTACCTAGCTTCTTTCTTTCCTCATGCCCTTCCCTTTTTCCTTCCTAAATGTGTGCCTTCTTTCCTTTCTCCCTCTATCCCTCTGTCCTTCCCTTTCTCCCTTCTTCCCTCCCTCCCTCTCTTCCTTCCTAGTTGTTAGTTGTTTCTTGCTTAATTAATTCTTTCTTTCTTCTTCTCTCATTTTCTCTTTAAAAATGGTTTTATCATTCTTCTAAAGGTGATGTACAGAAAGGGTTACAGTTACATAAGTCAGGTAAAGAGCAGATTTCTTTTTGGACAATGTCACCCCTTTCCTCACTCTTTCCCAGTTTTTCCCTCCCATCCACACCCACAAGTTGCATAGTTCATTTTCAACATAGTATCTGGTGAGTACCAATTTGTGTGTGTGTGGATGCTAGGACTAGGGCTTGAACTCAGCACTTGAACTTCAGGCCTTGTGCTCTCTCTTGGCTTTTTCATTCTAACACTTGAGACACACCTCCAGTCCCTCTTTTTCTTTTATTTTCGCTTACTTTCTATCTTTCTTTTTTCTTTTTTTGGTAATAAGACTGTTATCACTAGTCCTTTTTCTTGTTAGTTTGTTTCGTTTTTGTTTTTGTTGGTCAAGGGGCCTGAACTCTGGGTCTGGGTGCTGGCCCTCAGCTCTTCAGCACTCTATCATTTGAGCCACAGTGACACTTCACTTCTGGCTTTTTTCTTTCTGCTTATGTGGAGCTGAGGAATTGAACCCAGGGCCTCATGCATGCAAGGCAAGCGCTCTACCACTGAGCCACCTTCCCAGCCCCCCCACTAGTCTTTTTTCTTTAACTCTGTTTTTTGTTTTGTTTTGTTTTTTGGTAACAAGACCTCACTGTGTAGTCCAGGCTGGCCTGGAATTCATTATGTACTCAGCTTCTTTCCACTCTATCTCCTTTCTTTGTTTTCTCCTTGTTTAACTCACTGTCTTATTTTCTTCTGAGTCACCCAATTTCCCTTCTCCACTGCTCAGGTTCTTATTCTCTAATGAACCAACCTACATCTTCACTTCATCCCCACTTTCATTCCTCCTTTTCTCTACTTTCCTAGCCTCTTCTAGAAATTCCAGGCCATGGGCTTTGGAGTCAGACTGCCTGGTTCAAAACCTGGTTATACCATTTATTGACACTTATTTATTCTGTGCTGGTAAAGTCATTTTTTTTTCTTCTCATGCCTCAATTTCCATTTTCTTAAAGCCAGCATAAAGAGATTGGAGGTGTATCCCAGAGGTAGAGCACTTGCCTAGAATGCATGAAGCCCTCAGTTCCAGGGCAGGTTAATAAACATATTGCTCCAGGAGATGCTCGGCAAGTGGCCCTCCCATTTTACAGATGTGGGGGAGGGGGAGGGGAGAGAAGCAGGTCCATAAGTGATGGACCAAGGGAAGGCAGGTCTGGGCTGTGGCAAATTAGAGGAGGGCTCCTGGAGGGACTCATGGGAGTTCACAGAGGCAGCTATGGGTTATGGAGTCAGAAAAATAAATTGATGCTTAACCTCTAGCTGGAAAAAAAATCACATGACAGTGATGCAGAAGAGAAGGAAGCCTGAGGACCCAAGAGCTGCTCGGCATGGGGGTTCCCAGGTGAGAGAGTGGAGAGGCTGAGGAATGGGTCTATCAAAGCTGCCCGGGGCTGTGAACTTAAATGTTATGTGAACAAACAGCAGCACTGCAAGAAATAAAAACAACCTCAGGCTCTCCTGTAGTGGCCACCTACTTTATTGTGGCTACACACACACACACACACACACACACACACACACACGTATATATGTACTCGGCTCCTTCTCACTTTTACAAAATTGGTACTCTCAGCACACCTAGCACCTTGAAACTCACTTTTATTGCTTAATCTTGCACCAGATACACATGTTTGCCTTTTTTTTTTTTTTTGGTATGTATGTGCCAGTATTGAATTCAGGGCCTCTC